GTATCGGAGAGGGGAGGGTATAGGCAGTCTCAAGAGCTTCCAGGAAACTGATTTGTAGAAACAGACACCATTTCCATTCCTGTACAGCTTCAGTTAGCCAGAAATGGCCTCTTCAAGATGCTTTATCCAGGTGATGAGCAGGGAAGAGCAGGCCCAGAGTTGCCCCCTCCTCACCTGGGAATGTCTGGGAGAGAGGCACATCTTACTCAGTCCAGCTCTGAGAACCAAGACACTTCCCAGTAGATCTTTGTTTACCATGTTTCCCAAGACTAGAAGGCACTGGAGGCAGACAATTTCTAAAGATTTTTGGATTATTTAAGGAAATAAAATTACAAATCAGGGAACTCCAACGTCTGATTGACGGCAAAGAAACAGAAACCACAGTGAGAGAATTCTCTCCTTGTTCATTTTCTGGGAAGGTAAGAGAGTGCACATTTTTAAAGGTGGAATGGCAAATTTCATAGCCTAAGGAAGAAAATTAAAAAGAAAACATTGAAAAACACGCAGGTAAAATTTCAAAAGAGTTCCTGGTTGTTCCAAGGGACATTGGGAGATGTCGCTTCCTTGCCAGCAGGGGGCACATTTTCTTCAGGATTGCGTGCGGGGAATTTAGGTAAAACCTAAAGGCCAGACATGCTCAGAGCCCCCAAGCCGGAAATAGTTGTGCAGATAATAACCCTCCAGTGTCTGGAAATGTTTAATTACCCTGAGCGCTCCTTCCTCCAGCGCCTGCGCCGCCGGGGATGCAGCGCGTCCTGCACGCAGCGCCACAGGTGTGGTATGTGACACTAACCCAGGGTTTCATTCCAACTACACTTAATTCCGTTCCAATAACTTTTCTTCATCCTCCGCAGTTTATTGGACACTAGATCTTTTCTGTTGCACTTACTTCCCACCTTGGTTAAAGATAATTTGTTACATCAGAACACAGATGTTATGTAGAGAAAATAATTCTGACTACTCAAATTTGTTTTACACCAAAGGGGGAAAAATCCACCGTGCCCTCTCTACACATTTTGCATTTGATTCTCAACATATGCCATTGTCTCCATTTTACCGAAGACGTATGACCAGAGTTCGTGCAATCCCGTGCATACATTCATGTTTCCTGCGTATTAAAAAAAGAAAGAAAAACGGAAAAAGGAAAAAAGAAGAAAAAGATACAGACGCGTGGCTTGTTACATTTATTAAAGCGACAAACAACTGCAAGACACTTAGGTGTGCCTGAGGAACTTAGGACGCGGGAACTGCCTGGGAAAATACTGCTCACTTTCCCTTTCAGTTTTGATACTGTAACTTGTCTGTCTTTGCCACAACAGTAAGCATCCGTTCTTGCATCCACTGGCTTCCATTCTCAGAACTCTTGCTGGCTTGCAGGTTTTCAGAGGTGTTACTGTTGTAAATGTGTACTGAAGTTGTGTTACCTACCTCTTGCGTTTAACCCCAACTCCCCCAAACTGGATTTTGACCTGAATGCCTATAATGGCTCCGGAGGAGCTACTGAGCCGTTACAAGCCATCGTTTAAATGAATACAGACGGAAACCTAAATCTCCTCGCTATTTGAAAGCTTTGGACATGCATTTGGGGAGGGGTTAATGAGTAGACCCCCAAATGCCCACAAAGTAGTTACAGAAAAACTTGCTTAGGAAACAAAACCTTTCAAGTGTTAAGTAAATTCCATTAAAAAAAAAAATAGGGTCACTTTTATATGTCTGAGGAGTTCGGAGAGATGGGGTTCGCGATTTAAAAAAAAAAAAACCAAACCACCCCCAAGCAATGGATGCTTCTAGATGCTCACTCCTGGACAGACTGGAGGTTTTTCTTTCCTACTGAGCAGCAGTGGGGAAAGAGGTTGGGTGTGGTTAAGGCAGGAGAACAAACAACAAGCTGTCATCACCACTTCAGGTGTACCCGAAAAAGGCGGCAAGCAGCGGGCCGGACTCAGAGTGGACTGCGTTCCCAAGCAGTCTCCAGCTGGGCTGAGAACTGCTCCCTGGCTAGACCCCACTGGGACTAGAAGGCTTGTTGCGACTTTCGGCGGCCCTGGTATAGAGCCCTGGTTTCTACTGTGGAGACCCTGGTTATGGTGAATTCGGCGGAAACCTGTGATCAAGGGAGTCTGGTTGCCAGCTACCGCCTGCAGCCTCTTTGGAGCCAAGGCTACAGCTGCCGCTGCTGTGTAGAGCACCAAGGGGCTGAGTTCACTGGACTCGGGAATGGGGTGGGCGTCCGGATAGTAGTTTCCCCACCTTCACTGGCTCTGGGGCGGACAGAATCTACCGGACCCCTGGGTCCAGGCTATCTATGACATGAACAATTTGAAACGCGACGTTCTAAAGAATCTTAAACGAATCTAGCTTCCCCTAAGAGTGCCCTAGTTGTCCTAGGTGCTCCGGGTCCTGCCTTTCACCCACCCATTCAGGTCCTGCGAACTCTGCTCTACTTCTCTTAAATGGGCAGGTGATGGATTCCAGCAGTTGCTTTCCTCTACACAGAGCAGAGAGGTTCCTGGCTTCCTGGGTTTGTTCCTGCAGTCACGCCCAGAAGGAAACAGCGGGGGCTCTGGATGGCCTCCAGTACTTTCAGAAGCCAAGCTTTGGGGGTCATTCACCAAGGAGCTCAGACTGAGATGGAACACTTCTCAGCTTCTAGGGTATCTTGAATTTCGTTTCTTAGACTTTCTGAAATTATGGCTGACCTAGAAAGCAGTTCATTGGAAGCCAAGGATCCAAAGCAGATGATCCCTGGCAGAGGCCCAGTGACATGGCCTCAGCATCCAGGTATACCCTCCTGCAGTCCTGTCCTGCCTTGCTAACCAACTTCCTGAAGAGATGGTCATGACTGTTCTGAGAGGCAAATCCTGGGGCCCGACTGGCCCCTCAGAAACAGTACCAACCTTGCTTTCCCACCCTGCTCCACATCCTCTAAGTTATAGAATTTGTTCAGAGACCAGTTCCTTTTTCCAGATAATGGCAAAACCAGCATTTTTTAACCCAGTTCATTTGCAAGTTCTTTGCCTCAGGATTAGAGCACTCCCCACCAAGGTAGGTAATCTCTTAGCTATTCATCTGGGGAGGTGGCAGAGCTCTTTAGGGATCCCACTATTTTCTGCTCTGTGGAATTTCCTAGGCATGCTGGCCAAGGGTCTGGGTTTTGAAGAAAAAGACAAGTTAAAAGATGAAAGAAACAGAATTGAGCCCTGGGGAATTCTGAATAGGAGATGGGTGTGATATGTCCCAAGAGGTTTTTTAAGTTTGAATATCCAATTGCTTTTCTTCAATGTATATAAGCCAATAACCAGAAGCCCTGTTTTGTTTACTTGGTTGGGGAATCTGACTCTTGGTATGGAGACTCCCTAAGTTTTGGCTTCCTGTGGAAGCCTGAAACTGGTATCCACAAACTCCTTTTGTCAAAGTGGAAGGAAGTCAGTGAAGTCCAGGAACACCTGCCTGGACTTTATGTCTTTCCCAGCTCTCCAACAGAGGTGATCACAGCTCCCTCTTGTTCCAAGGGGCAGCAGGCTAATTGACAGTTACTAAGATTCTAAGCACATAGCCACACTTATGTGTGTCTCATCCTTGTGCACTAGCTTGAGGGGTCAGGTGAGTGAAGCTCTTGAACAAAGACTAGAACTTTCTCTTCCTCTTCTCTGCTTCGTTGAAAGCTACTGAGACACTGGATTCTGTTCTAAACATGGATATCAAGAGTCTCTTCCAATTATGGAGGTGTGTGTGTGTGTGTGTGTGTGTGTGTGTGTAAGGGTTAGGGGGTGGGGGCCATCTTCTATGACCATGCCCTACATGAGGAATGGAACTCTACCTCAAGAAAATTGTGTTAACAGATCAGCTTTTGTGAACCAACGCTAGAGAATGGGAAAGAACATCCAAAGAGAAGCTGTACCAACACATTAGGGAAGTGTCTGGCCCCCAGGAGATACAGAGGGGTCACTCTGTAGCAGCAACTCTGAGGCAAAGTCAGGAAGTCAAGTCAGAAATCCTCACTTCCTCCTCATGAAGAACCCAGGCTGGATGTTCCAGAAAGATGGCAGAGAGGGATGAGGGATGAAGGCCGGCTGGGATCAGTAGCAGGTCAGCTCCAGGGATCAGCAGTTAAGAGGGCACTGGCATGCTCCATAAGGCCTAGACAGAGAAGGCAGAATTGTCCTATGCCAGAATCATGACTCCCTATACATTGCAAATGCAACCGGACTCAGCTCCTGGATCCAAAAAGTCCGAGTGTACCAGCTGTTCTCCAAATTTTCATTCATCCTAACACTAGTGCATGACTACAGAGTGTGCAGTTGTACTTTGGGGTGAAATCCCAAAGAGTTCTGGGTCCCAGGGAAATAACTTTTCATTCCCTTCCCATAAACTCTATCAGGGACCTTCCTACTCAACTCCACAGTCCAGCGTCTGGGGTCAGCCATCAGCAATCAGATGTTATGGCTCACTGGAGTCGGTAATCCTGGCCCTTCCGCACTAGGAACCAGCCAACTCTGCCAGAGTTACAGCCCTGGTCCGGAGCACTCTGAGGTGTCAGAAAGCTCGTCCACACCAGGGGTCTGCCGCCTCTAAGAGGAGATTCTGGGAAGAGAGGCGATTTTGCCAGACTGCAAAGTTGTGCTGAAGCCAAAGCTATGGACCGGGTGTCGCGATTCAGAGAACTCCTCCCTACCTTCACAGGCATAAGTTGCATCCCAAAGCAGGACAACAAAACCCTGAAATGTGCTGTTCTAGCCCACTCTTGTCGGGTAGGAACTGTTTTCTCTACTGCTTACCCTTGTGAACCTAAAAAAACAGAAAGGGTCGCGCGGTGCTGGAGGGGAGCGGACACAGGTTGGGAGAAGCAGAGGCCAAGCCAGCGCAGCTGCCAAAGTAGGCTGCCCGGGTCAGCAAAACTTTATTTCTCAGTGCGCAGGCGCAGGCAGAGTTGGGGGGCAGGGGAGGGAGGGGAGGAATCCTGAGGCAAGGGGCGGGGGGGTAGGGGGTGGTGGATTAAAATAAGTAGGCGGCTCGGTGCAAAGGGATGAGTGAGACGCAGCTCGGCCTCTCCCCAGAACATTCTCACCCGCTCGGGTTCAGACTCTGAAAGGGAGCCAGGAGCGAAGCTCAACATCCCCGAGCGGTCTGGATTCCCGGGGCTGCTGAGCGCTCCCGCGTGTCGGGCGCTCGGAATCCCGGCAGCCAGAGGCGCGTCAAGACCCCAGGTCGCTAGCGGTGCCGGTGAGCTCCAGCTTCTCTGGTTTCTCCAGTCCCGCGCAGCGAGCCTCAGAGACGCACTCAGTCCAGGGACCGCGGTGGAACAAGGTAACTGCAGCCTTGGGCTCCTGGGCTCCTGGGCTCCGGGCTCAGCGAGGCGAATGCGGGCAAGACGCCTGGGTTCCCTGTTACAGAGGGTGCTTCCTCTTTTTCAATGTCCCCAAAAGTTCTTCTTGATAACGAAGGCTGGTGGATCTTTGTGAAGTTGAGAACAGTTGCAGCACAGGGTTGTGGGGATGCTGGCTCAAGGATATCCAACGCAGGGTTGTTGGCCTCTGACCTCGGGGTAAGGCGGTCTCGGGACACATCTGGGCCTTTGAAGCCAACTGTGCAACCGGTTCCGCAGAATCCCGGTAAAGTGCCCACAGACTTTAGAAATAAGTCTGCGGGCTCCCTTTAAGAAACTAGAGCAACTTCAGCTAGCACAAACTTTCGCGAGATGCTCTTTTACTTCAGACTGTCTGGCCTTAGCGGAGGAAGAGGGGAGAGTGATCAGATGGTCATAACCCTAGCCTACGCACCGGGGACAGGTGCATTGCCCGGCCCTGTTGCGCTTCAATGTGAGTTTGTCTTTTGGGGAATTGTGGTTCAGATACGAGGCCCTTAACACCCAGGAGCGCAGGACTGCGTGTCTGACGCCAGCCTCGCACTTGGGTTGTGTTTGAGGTAATCTCTGTAGGATGGTTTCTGTCTGTGCTCAGGCTTGGGGCCTGTAATCGTTGATTGCCCGTGGTGTAGGGAGGCATGCAGGGGGTACAAGCGCTGCTTTCTCATTGGACACCCAAACACCAAAGAAGCAGAACCACTACAGAGTTGCAGATGTCTCTAGGGTGGGGATTCGGAGAGAATTCTTTTGCTCCCCTGATTCTCTCCTAACCCAGCCGTCAGGGGAAAAGATGGGAACTTGTGAAGACAGAGTAGGTGAGGGCGGCTGCCTATTGATCTAACCTTTCCCTCCACCGACCAGTATCAGTAAGAATGCCACTCATGGGCAGCCCCTTTTCAGCAGATCGGGTACAAGTGTGGTGCGCTCCAGAGCAGAATCTCTCTCCGGGGTTTTCTTTGTTGTAATAATTCGGTAAATATCACTCGGATTTGGTGCTGCAGGTTGGTTCTTTGAAACAGAACCACGTGCAATGCTAGCATCCTAGGTTCACGGCCTCTCTGGGAAGAAAGGTGCTGGCTTGCAGGGATGGTGAGATTGTCTGTCTTGGGCTTTTGGAATTAATTGCCTTTTCATTAAGATTGGGTAGCAGGTCACTGAGTACTCAGGGGACATCTCAGTGCAGCAGAATGGTGAACTCCACGTTGGTTTCGTTCGATCTTGTTTGTTAGAAAAATGCAACAGAAATATCCAAGGCTGGTCAGTATCTGGCTGTGGACTGGGAGCCGGTCCCCTGTCACAACTGCAGTGAGGGATTTGATGTCAAGGGTGATTACGTTGGGCCACTGCTGGGCTCTTTCAGGCACAAGCTTGTGGAGTTCTCTCTGTCCTCATTAATGCAAGCAGTTAACTCGCTCACGCTCAATTAGTCCCGAATAAACCACTTTAATAGACTCTGTACACTTCATTAGTGCCCCGCATAGGGACTGGCGGCAGACCCGGGATTGGCTCAAGGGGGGCGCAAATGCATGCGCACCGGGACCCCCTGCTCTCAGGCACAAATTATGATTACTACACCGAATCAGGACACTTACCAGTGTTTCCCAAATCTCCAGGCCCAAGTTTCATGATGAGCAATGTTGTGTCTGAGAAGTGATCCCTCTCTGTTCAAACATGGAAAGCGCGGGTCGGATCGAGGGTACAGCAGCTGAAGCGGCCGGGTGCTTGGGACATCCTTGCTGGCTGCAGGGGCATGTATGCAACTGTGTTTTCCTCTTAGCTGACCACTTAAAACCAAATCGTGCATTCGGCCCATTTTTGGTTTTGGTGTAAAAAGTCACGTTTGGAACGAAATTCGAGTATGGGAAAGTCGTTGGCGGGACACTGGGAAGCCCTAGCCCCTGAAAGATGCAGAAAACAAACTACCTGGGCCATTGAGAAAAATAAACGGAGTGTTGGGAAAATAAGATCCTCCGGCAGATATCAGGGAAAGCCTGGCTCTCCAGAACTCAGATGGCTGCACGCACCCAACTCCAGGCTGCTAAGGCTGCTCCAGTCATCTTTGCTACTGAGAGGAGGGGAGGAAAAGTCTGAGGGTTCTACCAATGGGTCACAAGAAGGTTTGTTCAGCCCAGAGTACTACTGCCACTGCCATTGGGTTGGCTTCACATGGGCCTGGGACTGAGAGGAGAGCTGCCTCCTCCTTGCTCTGGCAGTTCCAGAGAGCCAGAGATAAGGATCTGATTTCCTGCGCCTGGATGGGAAGAGGAGAAGGCAAATCAAAGAGTGCTCATCTAGTTTAAGTCCTGGCAGACAGACCTTTGAAGTTGATAGTCCTCTTTTCTTCCTCCCCAACATGAAGGGGTTCTAACTTCCTCTTTGGCCCAAATGTACTTTGCTTCACTCTTGTGATGCTCTTGGTTTGTCTGGCACAGGTTTTGTGCTTTGAATGGTAAAGAAGGTTGGTGCCCAGCATCTGGGACTTGCTGTCATACTAGCTAGCCAGGTTGGATCTCTGCAGATTCCTGTCTCCCTTAGCTGGAAAGTTGAATTAATATTAGCAGCAAATTCCTGCCACCTCTTGTATGTTGTGCACCCCTCATACCCCAGCAATGTGTCTTACATTAGAGCCAGAACCACCAGTCTCCCTCCTGACAGCTTCTACAGAGATTTTCTTGGTAAAGTGTGTCCTCAGTTCCTCACAGGAAGAGACTCCACACATCCCTGGACCTATCCAGGCATTTTAGAGTCTCACTGCAGAGAAAGGAGCTGAATCCATTTCCCCTAGCTTGCCCTTGGGCTTGAGGGTGGCTGGGCCTGTAGGGGTGAGTCTGGGCTCTGATACAGAAAGCAGAGCAGGAGCTAGCACATCCTAGGGAAAGGGAATGCTTCAAACAGAGGAAAGATTTAAGAAAGAGAAAGAGCAATACTAGGTTAAAGAAGCAGTCCACATCTAGAGACTGGCACTGGCAAAGGAGGAGGGTGTTACAAGCACCCTGTTCTGACAAGAACTTCCTGAGGAGACCCAAGTTCAGATACTTTCTGAAGGTTCCAAGTATTTGGCTTTCTTCGTTGTTTTTCTCCTCCGCTATATAGACCTGAATTAAGTGTCTGGGACTGGCTGAGAATCCAACCTTCAGGCTGGAGAACCAGAAAAAAGAGGCCAGAAGATGTCCGCCCCTGAGCCCCTGGTCACTTTGGCATGGCTTCCTTCTGATCTTACTCAAGAACTCTGCTGGTGGAGGGTGCACAGAGCACAGCTATGAAGGCCTGGCATTAGTGTTCTTGCCTCTATAAACACTGACCTGCCTAAGGTTCTCATCATACATAAACTGTTTGAGCATCCCCCAAACCTGCTCCTCTTTGCTATGGGAGGGGGCTTATATACACCCTCCCATATGGAATTGCATCTGCTTGGCAGAATAAATGAACTGAATGTGGGTGTTGTATCTTTCTTGGAATAAAGGTGACTACTGGAGGCTATGGTAGAGTCATTCTGAAAGCAGCTATCAAGAGAGTGCGGTCCACAGGGTTAATGATTGAAAGGCATGCAGCAAATTTAAGGTCAAAGTGAGACTTAAAGAAACTGACATGGTTTCCTTGGTTTGGAAACCAAATCAGTCACCCAAAGACCTTCACATGTAGGAACCAGGAGGCATGTGCATTTGTTCACATTCTGGAGGCTCTTGGAGGATGCATAATATTTCCTGTGTTTTGTACAGTGTTGTCTTATAAAACACTGGCTGTCACAGTTTGCCTGTGTGCCTTCTTGTTGATTCTGCTTCTAAATGTGTTAGTCTGTGTTTATTATCCCTACATGAATGTGTAAGTGTGCTTCCTGATTCTGTTATCTTCCTAGGGATAGAATTCTGTGTGGCCCCAGGCTTGCCTGGATGTAGATGTCTGATGTCTGCCTACAATGCCTGTGCTCCTATGGTTGACTCTTTCACTGTATACAGCAGGCCCCCACTTTAAGTTTGTTGCATTGCTAAGATTTAGTCTCTCATAGAGAGACATGCTTACCTGTGCCTGAGACCATTCAGAGGGAGTCTTCCCATTAGGGAGAGTTCTGACAAGAGTGTTCTCCTGCTTATGTTCTCCTCTGTTTTGAGAGGGCAGTGGGGTTCATGGGTGAGGTCTCAGATTCCAGCCTCCTGCCCAGGGGAAAGGAGAAGGTGTGATTGGACTGAAATTCTGGAGGAAGGAGATCTATTCTGAGCTTCTCTTTTCTTCTCTCTCTTCCTGTCTTTGCAGATTGATATTGGGACTCACTGCAGCTACCAGCTACAGAAATGGGCAGCAAAACCTTGCCAGCACCAGTGCCCATCCACCCGTCCCTGCAGCTCACCAATTACTCTTTCCTTCAGGCAGTGAATGGCCTGCCCACAGTACCCTCGGACCACTTGCCCAACCTGTACGGTTTCAGTGCCCTACATGCTGTGCATCTGCACCAATGGACGCTGGGCTACCCAGCTATGCACCTACCCCGCTCCTCTTTCTCTAAAGTACCGGGTGCGATGTCCAGCCTTATGGACGCCCGCTTCCAGCTGCCTGCTTTTCCTTGGTTTCCTCACGTAATCCAGCCCAAGCCAGAGATCACCGCTGGAGGGAGCGGTCCATCACTCAAGACCAAGCCCCGCTTTGATTTTGCTAACCTGGCCCTGGCTGCCACACAAGAAGATCCTTCCAAGCTCGGCCGGGGGGAGGGCCCTGGCTCCCCCGCTGGTGGGCTGGGCGCCCTCCTGGACGTGACCAAGCTGTCTCCAGAAAAAAAGCCCACGAGGGGACGACTTCCTTCCAAGACCAAGAAGGAGTTCGTCTGCAAGTTTTGTGGCCGCCACTTCACCAAGTCCTATAACCTACTTATCCATGAGCGGACGCACACAGACGAGCGGCCTTACACCTGTGACATCTGCCACAAAGCCTTCCGGAGGCAAGACCACCTACGGGACCACAGGTGTGGCACAGTGTGGGTGGCCTTGGAGGGGTCTGCTCCGCTGTTCTGGTCTCAGCCCCCGCCCCCCCCAGGTTCATGAGATCCCCCACTGGTTCTGGCTCTAAGCCTCCCCATCCTTCTGGGAAGTCCCTAATACCATGACTGAAACCACAGGAGGCTCCTGGAAGGTGTTGAACGTGGGTGGGGATGAATAGGACCTAAGACTGTATGGATCAGGTCTTCACAAGGTTGGGTCTCTGCTTCCTTCCTTAATCCTCAGAGCTGTCCAATGGAAGCTCCTGAACTGGTGGAAAAATATGGCAACCAGCTCTTGAAATATGAAATTCAGTGTGTTTGAGAAACCAAATATTTAGGTTTACTTAATTTTATGTAATTTAAAATTTTAATACTTTTTTTTCAGTTTATTTTGTCTATGTCTGTGTGCCTGAGTGTATGTATGAGCACCATGTGCATGCCCGTAGTTAGCTGTGAGTTGCCATGTAGGTGCTCTTAACAGCTGAGCCATCTCTCCAGCCCCTGTAATTTTTAATAACGACTTGGTGAGTGAAGCTCTAGGAATGGTCTGACCCCAGCTATGTTGATTGACTTTTAGTGGGAACTAGGACTCAGGTCTTAGAAGGAGGAGGTACTCACACATTGTCCCCAGGAAGACAGGTGGTCTATTGGCCTCGGTCTGTTTAGGGATCCAAAACTGTCCCAAACAGAGTCGCCTATGCAGACTCAGAATTTTGCATATCTACTCAGTTCCCTTTGCCTTTGCCCACAAGCACCTTACAGCGGTGGGAGGGAATCCTGGACAGCCATCTACAAACAACCGTGCATCCGGTTACAAGGATTAACTGTCTGCCTCTGTCCTCAGATATATTCACTCCAAAGAGAAGCCTTTCAAGTGTCAAGAGTGCGGAAAAGGATTCTGCCAGTCCCGGACTCTCGCTGTCCACAAGACTCTACACTCACAGGTGAAGGAGCTCAAAACCTCCAAGATTAAGTGCTAAATAAACAGAGCCTGTGGGACACCAGGACCCAGGAACACGCTGCCCCCCTCTTCCAGAGGGACCCGAAGCTGAAGGCGACTCTGCAGGCAGCGGGAGGGGCTCTCGGGATCTCCCCCACCCCAACAATGTCCCCTGGGTCCCCAGCGCTTGCGGCGCTCCAGAGCTTCGCCCCGGGCCGTGACTTCTCCAGCTTGGGCGGCTCCCCCAGGACGCGGCTAAACTCTTGGCCAAAAGGCGGTACTCACTCACGTGGCGGAAGGAAAACTGCATTTTAAAAAAAGAACGAAAGCTCCGCAGAGCCGCAGCAGCGCCTCTCCCAGAAGTATTACTTTTTCTATTGTTATTTTATACGTTTTCTTTATTTTTTATTTTTTTTCCTTTGACCATATAAGCTTGTAAACTCTTGACTGCTGAGAGGGGAGAAGAAAAGAAGTTCTGCCCGCTTGGGCAGCTTCCAACCCCTCCTCTTTCCCCCATCCCCAGCCAGGGAGCCTGCGAAAGTGTAATCCGTGTATCTGCTTCAGCCGCCCGGCCTCAGTGGGCTCAGCGCGCCTCCTCCCGGCTCGGCTCCCGCAGCTGAGCTGGCCGTGGGCTCCCGGCAAAGGATGCTGAGGGGCAGGAACATCCTCCCCGGGGCTGACACAGCCGGGCCTAAGCGCCCCTGCTCCCTCGGCGCAAGCGAGCAGCCGGCCAGGAGCCGGGCGTTGTATTGCGACTGGCACTTTATGCTGACCATCGGTAACGGACATTTATCACTGGAGTTTTTTTTTTTTTAACTATTAAATAAACGGTTATTTTACAGGCATGACAGAATGGGTAATTTCCATCTCCAACCGCACGAAAAAGGTGCTATGTTTGGAGAGAAACAGGTTTCTCTGCCATTTCAACCTAATTTCTCCCACTTCTTCCTGTTAGGGTGACAGGGTTACGGTGGCGGAGGAAAGCCCGCTTTTTTGGTATTGGTTGGTCTCTGCTCCATCTCTGCGTGTTTTCCTACCCCCTCACCCCCTGCTTTGGTGTCAGGGTCGGGTCGCGCTGCTCCTCACTTCCAGTGAGTCGCGAAGGACAGAGTCTGCTTCCCGCACACCAAGTTTCCAGAAATCTCACCATCTGGGAGGGTTAGATCCGGTAGGGCCCACTAAAAGGAACAGATTACCACAACCCCCACCCCAGCTTCCCTTCACACACCCCCTCCCACGCAACTAGCAGCTTTTTTATAAGACTTTTGCTTTGGAGCCAGAAGATATGCTGTCCCCAGACCCCAACGTTCATCAAATACACAGTTATCGCTGGCTCCCTGAAGTCCCCCAAACTTCATTTCTGTTTCTTTTGGGAACGCCTTCCCCCATTTCTGAACTTGGGGCTTGTTCCCCACCCGGATCACAGCTGCAAACCCGCGAAGATTCTTGGCAATTTTGAAACTTTGTGAGGAATGGTGGGGGCGGGCTCCCTGGGAGGCCCATGAAGCTTAGAAAGAAATCCAAGTCCACCCTCTGCAAGCTGAACTTTCCCCCTGGGGCGTTTAGCGTTCCCACAATTAGAGTCCTGGCCTCTGGGGGCTCTCCTGCTTGGGGGTGGGGCGCCCCCCCCCCCCCCCAGCTGTAGCGTCCGGACCGCAGGACCGCCCGCGCAGACGGTGGCGCCCTCGGCCTTTCCTTAACAAAAGCATAGCCTCCCGGGCTTCAATGCCGGGTACTATGCAGAGGCGGCGACCACTGGGCTGTGCTTCCAGGCATCAACTATCAAAACCCCAGCCTCAAGCTGGACTCCGCAGACTGAGAAAGCTGATTCAGACGGCAGGAGTTCAGACGCTCTTGCTTTTCACAGCTGGTGTCTCTCCACCTCCTCTGGGAAGGCTACCAAACCTGGTGGATGCTTAGAACTGTGCAGCCCAGAAACCCCAAGTTGGCATTGGGGGGCCTCTGCCTGGCCAGCACAGTTGAACCCTGCCTTTTGCGTTGGAGGCTGTGCAGCCTCCTCTGGATAGGTCTGTATCCCAGGACTGGGACACAATGTATCCTTTTCAGAACCCAAGAGAAATTCTGCTGCAGCTTCTGTCCATCACTCATCTTCTACTTAGATATCTACCTCAAAAACTTCAGGACCCACTGTCAATGAGAGGCAGAGAGCTACCAGGTCAGGACTGGTCGGTAGGATTTCCCCTTGATTGGCCAAGTACTCAATGTCTTCCAAGTACCCCGAACCACAAGACTGAGGCCCAATAGCGAATGAAGCCCCCTACTCCGGGAGTCTTGGGACCTCTGACACCTGGAAAGGTGGTTAGTTGGTTGGTTTTGTGATCTGCAACCCAAGGTCAACCAGGACAGGCCGCTGGTCTATGCTTGGCCATGGTTTCTGTTAGGATCTATAGCAGTGGTACATGGGTTCCTTTATAAGACCCAGAGAGGATGAGAGGATGTGAGCTGTGGTTGCTTAAAGAGGATGACAGTACATAAGTACGCACATGCACACAAATAAAGACCTATTTGAGCACTTTCTAAAGACACAAGAAAGACAGCCTTCCACATTCCTCTCCTGGGATTCTATCTTCCCTGGAGACTGACTGCCACAGCCCCCACTCCCCTCTCCCCCTGAGCACTCCTTTCATGACCCTCAGAACCTCTACAGTTAGCCAGGCCTCCAGGACATCATTAATGCTATGGAATGTTCCAGAAGGTTTGCTTGGGATGTTTTCCTTTTTGGCACACTCTACCTCTGGCATGGAGAATCCCAGCCCCACCCTGGGTCCTGAGACTGAAAAACTTTCAATATCAAACATGCATCCTCAGAAGAATGGATTCTGCAAGCAGAAGTTTTAATAAGGTGTAGGGAACAGGACACCATGCAAGGCTGAGGATGCTGCATCTTGCTGTACCAGTGGTTGCTCTCAGGGAATGAAACCAGAGTTTGCCTTTCATCATGGTTTGCTCCAGTGAACTGCAGAAGGCAGGATCATCAACTACAGGTGAAAAGGCAGGCCTTGGCCACAAGCCACCAGAGCAATGTGATTGGGACAGTTTCCCCTCTGGTACCCAGTGTGCCTCCTTTAAAACATGAAATTGCAGTGGGGGAAAGACCCGTGGATTATTTTTCTTGCCTGCTCCAACTTTTCCTCTATTCTAGAAAATTCCAGCTTTTCCTCTCCTCTCTGGGCCTCCTTCCCTACCAAATAAACTACTCCAGTACCAGTGTCTCTCTCTAGTGCCCAAGAAGCAAAAGAGCAAAAGAAGCCAGCAGGCCATGGGCATTCGTAGGCTTGCAGGTCATGCCTGGAAGGTGGAGGAACAAAGGGGTCTCTTTGGAGGGATCTTGTGAAATCCTTGGTGCAGTGTGGAGTTCCTGCCGGGAGAGATCAGTGGTGTCCTGGGGGAAAGAACAGCTTTGGGGAACTCCATTGTAGGAAGAGGTTCTGATCCCTCCTTTCCGGCTTTGCACAACAAAGAACATTTTACTTCCTACCCCTGATTCTGTGTTCTCAGGACTAATGGGATGCGCTGAGCATTTTCAACATTACCTCACCTCCAAGAATGTGAGCTCTTAAGGTTCCCTAGAATCTTAGTGTTTACCTCAAAAGCCTCTCCTCCCATCTTCGAAGGTATTAAAAGCGCTGTGACGTCACGGTCTCCTCTTGAAAGCACCATGACATCACACAGACCTCAAGCAAGAGCCTAAGAGCACCACATCATCTTTCATGGCAACCCACTTAGGTAGCTTTATAAAATCGCAGACAGGGTCCACCACGAGCAGTGATACCCACTCAGCCTAGCCCCGCCCTGAGAATCTCTTGGAGGAGCCAGGAATCGAGTAGTTTCGTTTCCAAGGTAAGGATCCATAAACCCGAAGCACCGGCAGGTGCGCTGAATGAGGAGCTGTGGCTGCAGCAGCATCCTCTTAAATTCGGTGGTGGTGGTGGTGGTTTAAACAGTTTCAGACCCCAGGGGTTCCAACTCTGGGGCTGCCGCTCACCGGCCCAGCCCACACGGACCGCGCCCACTTTGGCTGTCTCTCCGCCCACAGAGCAAGTTTTGGACGCAGGCGCAGGAGGAAGTCTTCGGCAGAGGCCGCGGGTGCTGGAGCCCGGAGCTCAGAGGAGGTTGGGACAATAGCTGCCGCATTTCGCGTCCTCCCTTCGGAGATCTCCAATTCAGGGGTCACTGACCCTGCACCCCTATTCCGCCTTCATCCTAGGGGTATATATGGAGGATCTGTTTCGCTTTAATGCAGCCTGGAGATCCTTGAGATTCTATGGCGTCCTATGGAAGTGTCCGTGACCAGAGGAGCAAGGGTGTGTGTGTGTGTGTGTGTGTGTGTGTGTGTGTGTGTGTGTGTGTGTGTGTGTGTGTGTGTGTGTGTGACCCTGTCTTTCTCCGGAAAGCCCTTTGTTTTCCCAGCCTTTTCAGTTAGGGTGTCAGAGGCCAAGGTCTCTCCCTTGAGCCCTGGGGTGCTCTTAGAGGCACTGTATGGCTGGGGTCTCCTACTTAAGCAACCAGGCCTGGATTTCACCAGGAACTTGAGGTATTAGGTAAAGGGGTCAAACCTCATGTCAGTGGCAGAGGAAGAATTAGAAGCCATACTTTCTCTGAGGCACTGGGTCAGGAGACCAAGTGCTTGTGTTTTATAATACACACAGAAGTTTGAGCTAGTTCCTGCATTCTGAACCTTAGTTTTTCCTCCTTTAGTGGGGATAACGGTCTCCCACTGCCCCACTCAGCTGGTGTAGAAGTCAAAGTCCTATCTATGTTGAAACACACTTATTACTTTAACCAAAAGAGGCCCTGCAGTGGTCTGCCTTTTAAGCTCTCTTTTTCCTAAGAGTATCTACCCTCATTTTCACCTTCTCAGGGGTCCAAAAATTGAGAGAGAGAGAGAGAGACAGAGACAGAGACAGAGAGAGAGAGAACTTGGATGTGTCGTCTTTATTCATGTGTGTGTACTGCTTGTATACGTGTGTGTGTTTGTGTACGCCCTTGTGGGGATGTGAGAGAACCTCAGTTGTCTTTATTGCTCTCGTTTTAAGATGGGGGTCTCAATCAACTTGAAGCTTGCTGTTTCTGTTAGACTGCCTGGCTTGCTAGTGAGCTGAGATCTACCTGTTTTTATCTGGGTACTGGGGATCTGAATTCAGGTCCTCTTGCTTTCTCAAAAAGTGCTCTTACCCACTGAGCCATCTCCCCAACTCCAGACCGGTGGGCTTCTTGATACTTCTGGGAAAATTTGGAGGCAGCCCTTTTCAGGCCCATGGGAACAAATGCATTAATGAATTC